GTAGTAATTCCAAGTAAATCTGTGACTACAGTGGCCCGACTGGCACAAACTACATGGTAAGTCATTTTCGAAAGAATAGAGTCATAATAAGTGAGCTAGCCAAAAACTTATTAGCTGTTTCACCAAAACTTAATGAGTAACTCTGAATGGGAAAAAAAAAAAAAAAAAAAAAACTAAACGGCTCTATCCGAATCAACGAACTAACCTCCTACTCTACTTATGAACAAGACCCTGAGATGTTTCTTTTCCCAGCTGCAAACTACGCCCCTGTGCCTTGAAGGTCTCTGATCGACAAAGTCCAAAGGGACACATCATCGAAAGGAAGCAAAAAAATAAATAAAAATCTGCTATCTGCATTGTTAGAAATTGTCTGGTGGGATGCTGTAGATGTGTGGAACGGGTTTCGATGGTAAATCAGTACAGATGAAAACGCAAAATTGTTCAATTAGCCTCCCACTATGCATTAGTTCCAGGGAGAAAAACACATTTTAGGTGATGAGGAAGAAGTAAGTTAAATGCATCAGTGAACGGGGTGTCTAAAAATGAAATGAGGTATAAAGTAATGTAATTTTGTTGTGTAGATCAGTGGATTTAATCAGTGGAATTAAACATATGACTCAAGTTGTGACCGGGGTCAACAGAAAATTCACAATTTTAATTTAAGGCTACATGGAACATTTTAGTGGGGGGTTGTGTGTTTTTCTTTTGAACAGCCACATCCTTCCTACCTATGTAACAGATAAATATATGTGCTCTATATAGATATTTTATATTGTTCTATTGTATGTGTTCTGAGATAGAACCCTTTCAAGTAGACACACAGACAACACCCACTGACTCTACTTCCTCTGCACGCCTTTCCTCCAGCTGAATGTTACCATATCTGATAGACCACACACACACACACACACACACACACACACACATACACACGCACCCAACACATGTTAAAATGATACGCAAGACTTCTATATCGTTTCCACTTTAATGAGGATTTCCAGTATTAATAAGAAAACGCATGAAAATGTTCATTTCCAATCTAAATTCTTTCCTTTAACGCTTTTCTCTAGACTCTACTCTTAATCTCTGGGTTCTGTCACATGCTCTGAAGTGTGTATATGTGTCCCAGGCCCAGTGGGACAGTCATGACCGAGGTCGCTGGGTCAGGGGAGCTGGCCAATCAGAGGCCAGCCACTCCCCGTTTCCGGCCCTGAATGGCAAACATTCCCTAGCAGTCTGGCTCAGGATGTCAGAGAAATAGCGCAAGTCCTTTAGTTCAAACTTTAATGGCTATTTATTTACATGGGCCGTCGGCCATTTGCATCCAGTTCAATTTAACATTGGTGCTGCTCGGAGAGTGACAATATTTCACAAATAGAAATAGAAAATGACATCTGCAGGCTCATGGTAGGACTGAAACTTGAAAAAAGCCACATTGATATATTCTGAGTTGTATATATTACTATACATTAATACAAAAAACGAAGGAAGATTTTTTTCCTGCAAATCAGTTTCAATGGACAGAGAGATGAGATTCAAGTTGAGTTCCTGAACCAGGAAGCGTAAACAGTCCCACTCCCAGCCAATAGGAGGCAGACGCCGAGAGTGTAGGATGTTTACACTTCCTGAAAATCAGAAGTCCAAGCGTTGGCTTTCACTACACACTCAGTAAAATTGCATGGATCCACAGACACATTTACAGCCCGAGTATATCTACACCGAAATACAACGTTTTTGTACAAACTATTTAGACTCTTCAGACAAATGGAAGCAAGTATGCAAAGGGAATACTTTTGAAACTGTTGAGGTTTTCCCCATGTCATGTGTTGGAGAAGTTCTTTAAACATTACCCCTGCACCCCCCCCTGGCCTTGAAATTTAACTTGTGCCACTAATCTTTACAGCAGGGATGCTTTTTGCTATTCCAGCTAAAACTGATGTCATTAAATCATTACATAATAAATAATGGGATTTTTTCTTATTCAGATTAGAAACATTTAAGAAAGAAAAAATCTAAGGGACAAAGATAAAAAACACAAAAACAAAACATACACAGAAAAAAAATAGAATTTTGACAGCATTATGCAACCAGTTCTTTTCCATGTCAGCCAGAGAAGAGTGATGGGGCAAATCTGTTTTGTGCGCTTACATGGATACATTTCCAGCAGTTACAAGTTAAAACTAATTATTAAGCCACTTCTGTACTTTGTAAACAATTCTGGTTTTATAAGTAGGTAAAACCTAATTGTTGAATAAATGAAAAAACAACAACAAACAAAAACAAAACAAAATTCTTGACCTTTTGACTACCTGGCACCGCGGCATTCTGATCTAAAATTACGTCTTTTTTTTTTCTTTCTTTCAATCAATCTCTGAAATTAACATATTTTAAAATGTAATACAACATTTCCCAACCTGTAATAGCAGAGATAAAAAATGCTACCGTCATGTTGTTTGACTCATGAAAGAGCTGTTGTGAATCGGTGACTTTGTGGGTTTCTATTGCCACGACACCAAAAAAAAGTGACGACAAAAAGCATTGCATATTCTCACCCATGATATGACGGATGTGGCAGTGCTAGGAGTTTGCAATGTTAGAATGCTTCCTTCCTTCCTTCCTTCCTTATTTCCTTCCATCCCTCTGTTGCTTGCTTCCCTGTCTGTGCCCTGTGGTGTGTGTTACACCCACTTCCCCTTTAGCCCTGACTGGGTCGGGGGAGAAGAGCAAACAATTCAGGAATAGCAGTTTAATCGCCCGTATTTTCCTCCCTGTTGTCCTCGTCTCTGATTTCTCACTCTGCATTTCCTGCTCCATTTTCCCTATATGCCTCTCACTTTTACTTGTGTCTCGGAAGAGAATGAACAACATGGCCTAAATGGAAACAAAAATGACAG